AAACCCAGTATTAAGTCAAAATTCAGACCAAAAAATTCAGGTCTCGCCATCTGTTCAAGAACTTTAAAATCACCTTGTATTGCTGGATGTTAGGCAGTGGACACTGAGCCTCCCGGTGACTCAGTTTCCATACTAATGAAGTACTTCACTAAATGGTCTAGGGTATGAAAAATAAATATCCCTCCAAAACTATATTTACCCCAACTTTTCATGTTCTGATACATATTTTTAATTTTTTACTTGTTTTATTACCTACACAGGTTACAAATAGCTAATAAAATGTAATCATCTAGAAGCATACTTAAGCACACATTAATGAAATCTTAAAGGGTTCGACAACTGACTTCTACAAAATTAATTTAAAAAATAACAAGCCTTTGAGGCCCATCACACTTTAATACTTGAGTCTCTCTCAGGTCCAAGAACAGCTTGCACTACGTTATGTGGTAAAATCAATAGAAGTAAGCAAAGTCGGTGATCTAATATGTACCCATGTTCCAGAACTTGACCATCTGTGCGGGAGTGAAGAGACCAGAGAAGATGTGCAAACTAACACTGATTGTCCTTCTAGTAAGGCAACCGTAAAATCTACCATCTACACCCAGGCGTTCTGGAGAGTTCCACAGGGAGCTGTGGCTAATGATGTCAAGACAAGAAATGGAAACCAGCTACCTCAGGGAAACCAGAACATATGGCAATTCCACGTTTAATTGATATTTTTAATAACTCCAGTGGGTAGAGGGGTCAATGGGGGGAAAAAAGGGGACATCTGTAATACTTTCAACAAGAAAGATAATTAAAAAAATAAAATGAACTGCTGCTAATAAAGGAAGCAATGGCGCCTGATACAAGCATTCTGATGTAGCTCACATTGCAATGGGGAAAGACCTGGGCTGAAATGTATTGCTTTCAACTGTATTCACTAAATGACACATCATGTCTCTAGGCCTCCATTTCTTACCTGTGATATAAAGTTACTATATTTAGTGACTTCTTGAGGTACCTTCCAACTTGAAAATGTTTGTATCCTAACATCCTTTCTTGGGTTCTAAAGGTCTCCAAAGAGACCTCAGAACATCTGTTCCTCTGATTTAAAAGCAAAGGAGTACAAAGTGAGAAGGCAGAAAAAAAGCTCTAATTTTAACTTCCGAGGTAACTATAACAAATTATAAACTTGATCAACTGATTAAAAATACAAAATCCCAATAGCATGATATATCAATTATATGTCATTTCTATTTCATTCTCCTAAACAAAGTCAAAAGAATTCTGGTTTTGGCCTTTTTAAAAACAAAAAACTATAGAAAGCTCTTAACTGGCTGCCTACATTTGGGGGTCTGGGAGTGTTGATACAAAATAATTATTGATTTTATGTCTAACGTTTAGAAGGAACTAGTAGTTCCTTCAAGGTCTCATACTTATTCTTCTCAAAGCATTTTGAAAAATAGACTCTTGCCTATTCCATTTTTTTAAATTGAAGAATTAAATTCTGAATCAGTCAAGATTATATCTGTTTCATGAATCAAGCCAAATATGTGCAGAAGTATATGGAACAAGAATTCCTATGTAGTTTACAAAATGTCTGAAAACTAAAAAGGGAAAATCCACTTTAAAAAACTCAACCTTAACCAAGTATTACCATGTCATGCCAGTCAAAACTCGAAGCATCGTACTTTGAGTGACGATCAGACATGGCTATGAGCCATGACAAGAAGGTATCATTTGTAAGAGTGGCCCCGAAAGGAACTACTAAATTCTACAAAGCACTTTAGATAGACAAGTAATAACCCCCTGAAATTTTAAAATTCTTTTCTGACCCAGAAAATTGAAGGGCTCAGAGTAATTGTACAGAGGACCTTTTTACATCAGAGCAGTTCAAGAACTTGGTAAAATAAAAATATTTGCCACTTAGGATTGACTCAAAGTAGAAAAACCAAGAATTATAAAACAATAACAAAAAACTGTTGTAAAGATAATCAGATTACTCAGCATACGGCACAATAAAAAAAATAAACCCGAAGGTGCCAACAGGAACTGCCTACGAGTAAAATAAAACCTTATTAACAGCAAATATCCTTTGGCAATGAGCTCTGGAGAAAGAGAAAACTATCTGTACTTTCACCTTGTTCTTGGAGGATCACTTTTGCAAGTATAAATTCACTAATAAAAACATGCTAACTGACAAGGATGAGGCACATTGTAAATTCTTATGATGAAATGCAAAGACTGGGTCACATCCTCCGAGGTGAAATCATTCTATGAAGTAAAAACATTAGGAAAAAAAACCCCAAACTGATTTAAAAGAAATAAGACAATAGGGAAGAAAATATAATTCTTTCTCATGCTACATTTTGGATTAAATTTTAATATAGATGATAATAGACTTTATAGAATGCATTAAAACAGGGTTTATTAATTAATCTATGTGACTAAATGTAACATCTAATATTAAGTGAAAGGAAAAAAAGAATATTTAGTAACTAAACTTACTACAACCCAGAAATAGTACCCAATTTACCACTTCAGAAAATAACATTTTGATGACTTTGATTTTCCAACATTCAGTACATTCTTTAAATAATTTCACAGTAATATCCTTTTTAAAATAAAAAAGCTGTTGTAATATATATTTTTAAATGAAGTTTCTATTTTAAAATAAATAAAAATACAGAGAAGTGGCAGATACTCCAGAAAGTACCCATATACCCTGTACCGAGTTTCTTCCATTGTTAACATCCCAACCCAGACTAATGTCTGACACATTAGTCACAATCAGGGCAGAGCTGGCCTTTTAAAAATTATATCCAAGGAGGGTTAAAACTCACCCATTTATAAGGTACTTAAGACTTTCAAAACAAAAAACAAAAAACCAACCAAACAAACAAAAAACAAAAACAAACAAAAGCAGCAGGCCTATCTGCCATACCCAACAGAGTAACTCCAGAAGTGGGAGAGGATGTCCATATGCACAAAGCCCATCAATAGTGCTCTTATCTCTGGGAAGGAGAAACAAAGCAGGATAATAAAAGCACATTACTGACAACCAAAGAACTAAGGTAGTTCTATGCTTGTGACTTTTTGCCCAAAGCCAAGGTATTTTCATTTAGTGTGTCGATAAACTTCAGTTTGATGATGAATTATTTCACATTTTGGTTTGTCATCACACAAGACTTAAAACTAAATCATTTCTCGTCAACAAGCACATTTCCTTCCATCAGTTTTTGGAGCCATTTGCCTCAGGTAATCTGTCCTTTTCTCCTCTGCCCCCTCCCTGACATCTGCTCAGCTATCACTTCTTCATCAGCCCTAGACATCCTTACCTTTTCCCTTCCTGGCAGGCACAGAGGTGCAGGAGCTCTGGAATGCCAGCACATACCCTGTATTATTCTCTTGGGCTAGAGATACAGGTAAAAGCTATAGCAACCCATTTGTATCAATAAAGCATATGCAAAACCAAACCATTTTCCCATCTTCAGCTGGAATCACTGCCGTGGCAGGTCCTTTGAGTGCCCTGCTCCTTCCCGAGTCCTTACCCCTCAGTGTAGCAGGCCTGACTTCCAACTGTCAGTGCCTTTGTCTGAGCTGTCCTCTCGCTGCTAGTCGGCTCTGTTGCCAGCATGGGAGGCCGGAGGCAGCAGAGAGCAGCCCCAACCAAATAACTCCTTTGCCCTTTGACCCTTGCGTGGGGTGATTCAGGTATGTGTCAAGTCAGCTCTCAGTTCCCAGGAGAATTAAACTCCAGTTGCTCACAGTGATTTCTGGTTTAAAAACATGGCCCCCTTAAATGCTCTCTTCCTGTTCCTGTCTCACACCCCCACGCCCTACAGTGGTTCCTTCACCTTCCAAACTAACCACGTCCACCCAATCCTTGTCTCAGGAAACCAAACCATTTCAAGAACTGTACTTTTCTACTCTTTCAAGAATGTTAAGAGCAAGGCAGGTTGGCCATAGCATCATTATCTGTCAGGAGAACAAACCTGGGCTCTGAGGTTCAAAATAGAACTAGACCTGGGTTCAAATCCTTGTACTGACACATTTATGCAACTTATTCAACTCCTCTGACCTTTTATTTCTACTTTCTAAAGTGGGGTCTGCCTATGGATTGAATGATATAATACATGTAGCACTCTTAGCACTCGAATAGCGTTTGTAGAAAACAACACACTATGTGTCTACAATAGCAAGACTTTACCATTCACTGTTTCTTCAATATAACTACTAATCCAGGACACTCTTGTCAGGAAGCTAACTGTTAAGACAAAAGCTTCCTGAAAGATCCAGCAGCTTTTCAAGAGAAAGCATCAAAGGACATACCCACAGGAGTTTTTGAACCCCTCATCTCAAAATCCTCATCTTGCTGTATCCATCAATTCTGAATTACTAGGCTTACACAATCCTAACCAAGACCTGCTCTAAAAGACCTGTCTAAAGCCAAGGCCCAGGCCGGGGAGGAAGTCTGCAATCAAGTTACGTGCCTTGGCTGGAATCAAACCTGGGACCCTTTGGTCCTCAGGACGATGCTCTATCCACTAAGCCAAACCGGCTAGGGCTAATGATTTTAAAAATCATCTGGAAAATGACTTCCCTCCAAATCTCTCATTTTTGAAGTTTCCCTATTGATTCTACTTGCTCAATTTGTCCCCTTGAGGACAAATTCTATTTTTGTTTTACTCTCTGTGCACTGGCCTTCTGGTCATCACTATTTTCTAGTGTAGGTATCTTTACCTTCTTCACTCATTGTCTTGACAAAAGTTTCATCTCCTATCATACTCTATCCAACTCCAGGAAAAACAGGGTTATAAGGGCTACAAGTAGAAAACAAAGCCCCCCTGGGGTTACTGCACATCCTCTCCCACGCACTGCCTCGCTCTCACTGTGAAGTCACCACACAGTGAAAGGTGACGGAGGAACTGCATTATGCCTCAAAGTTATTTCTAATTATGTGTGCCTATCTTAGCACAGGAAATAGACATTTAAAATAGCGACTACGACTTTCTTACCTATTGAATGTATCTGATTCGGATGAAGAAAGAGCATCTTCTTCGATATCAGTACAGCTGGAAGAATCATCAGGTCCGTCGGGCTCACATATCCCTGGGGAGCCCAGCTTTGGCTGAGGGAAGTGGTTTATTACTAAGGCCATATCTGGTAATTTCATTTTATTATCTTCCTGATCTAAAACGAAAACAGGAAACAGTTAAGAGTACCTTAAAATCTACAACCTCTGCAAAAGTATTTCCAGAAACTTAATATTGTTATTTGTATTTAGTAAAATACAAGTTTATTTAACATTGATTCAAAAAGTGTAGTGACAGTCAGAGAATCAGAATCAACACTACAATGGTGCCATCTAATTATACTGTCCACACCATGTATTACCAAATTAATTTAAAAACAAAATTTGAACCAGGAGTGGGGAGAACTTTGTGATTCTACTGCAGCTTCTATTTACAATATTACTAAAGAATTCCAGAATATTTACAAACCAGAAAACATTGGTAAACATAAGAAGCGTAACAAAAAAGAATTAAAGACTCAAGTAATAAAACAATCACAATATTTGTCACTGGCATTTAACTAAATCTGTTACAATGAATCTAATACTCACCATGGAAAAGAAAAACTAATCATACATATCCAGTATTTTTGTTTGATCCAATACTTTTCGATCAAAAGAAATATTTTATCACATTTTTATGCACACCCCTTGTCATAATCTCAATTTCCGAGGTCTCATGGCAGATAGAGACACAAGGTTTGCAAAAATGGCACCAGTAGGTATGCTAGTAACGAGATATCTACAAATGTGAGTGCAGAAAATAAAGCCAGTGACGAATTCTTCAGAGTTCCGGCCTCGCCCTCACAGCCTGTTTCAGAACTCCACTGGGCTTTCATTTGTGCCCTTTTATTATTATTTTTATTTTTTTAAAATATATTTTATTGATTTTGTACAGAGAGGAAGGGAGAGAGATAGTTTTAGAAACATCGATGAGAGAGAGTCATCGATCAGCTGCCTCTTGCACACCCCCTACTGGGGATGTGCCCACATCCAAGGTACATGCCCTTGACCGGAATCGAACCTGGGACCTTTCAGTCCCCAAGCCGACGCCCTATCCATTGAGCCAAACCCTCGGCCATTTGTGCCCTTTTAGGTTCAGGACAGGAGGCAGCACTGTACTTCCAGCACAAGCCGTGAGTGAAGCCATTGCCTGAGTTCACAGAGAGCAGAGCTTTCGCTCATCACTCCTCCAGGGCGCGTTAGGGGCAAGCAGCCTTTCACAAAGCACACTACAAAGAACTGCCATGGTTTCATTAAAAGGAGAAAATTATGGAAAGAGAATAAGATAAATTCTTCCCCAAAAAAACCCCACAACCTTTCAAAGTCCATATAGTCAGGATTTTTCCAGAAATTATTATATAACTTTTTGTTATACTTTAGAACATCATATATCACAAGAGTGCAGTTTCTATTGATAAAACTAAGCTCCTGAAGTTGTCTGACCTTCAGTAGGTCTAGTCATTACCCTCTAATGTTCATCTGTGGAAAGAAAGAGAAAGAAGCTAACCAGGCCAGCCCCTTGTAAAGAAATACCAAGATCGTGTGAAGAAAAATCAATCACCCAGTAAATCCAGGCAATCCTGTCACTCAACTGGCCAGGAGAACGCAATCACATTGGCAAACCAGGGAACAGAATCTTATTCAACTGAAAACTATCTTTTATTTTTGCACCTGTGTTACAATCTCCTCTTACTTCTTCCCCTGTTTAATAAGCTTCTATCAGATAAATTCCCTCTTGGGGACAAACATCATGCAACAATTTGTGGGCTTTGAAAGTCCTTCAAATCTGTCCATAGATGCCCGAAGAGACTTCAAATTAGAGCCACAAAATATGAGGCTCCAACATCCCACTTCCCTAAAGACATGCAACAAAATAAAGGAAGGTTTTACTTGACAGAACACACATCTTTTTAAACATATACTGGTACAGCAATGAGCAAGTTTATTCTAAAGAGAGAAAATTACACAGTACATGAAGTTATGTGATGCCATCCAAAGCGCAGCCTTTCAGTCAGTCTGTAATTCTGTCTTACTCTCTCTCTCACTCCCCACCTCTCTCAGACCTGCGCATTCATGCATAGCAACCTACCAGTAGCACTCATCTGTGAACCCCAGAGACAGCAATGTCTAAGTGCGGTACACATATATATAGGGCAAAGTAGGTTTACAGTTGTTCATATGGAGAATACAATAAAAAAATAATACAAGAATAAATTTTTGCATACTTACTATAAATCTACTTTTGCCCCATCCTGTATAATACGTAACCCCTGAGTACAAGCAATCAATCACTTTCAAAGAGATTCAACCAATAAACAAAATTATCCTCCAAATCTGAGATAATAAGCCAGATTTTCTCAGGAGCTGAAGCACTTCCTAAGACTATCCTTCAACAACCACATGAACAAATCCAAGTTGTTCACCAAGACCATGAGGTATATAGTCAGGCAGCAACCTATAAAAGACACCAGAATTTAGGACAAATAAATTACTTACAAATAAGTCTAACTAAGAAGGTAAAAGACTTGCATACTGAAAACACAAAACGTTGTTGAAAGAAATTAAGAAGAGATACATAAATGAAAGATTATCCTGCATTTATGATTGAAAGATAGTATTGTTAAGATGTCAAAACTGCCGAAACCGGTTTGGCTCAGTGGATAGAGCGTCAGCTTGGGAACTGAAGGGTCCCGGGTTCGATTCCGGTCAAGGGCATGTACCTTGGTTGCAGGCACATCCCCAGTAGGGGGTGTGCAGGAGGCAGCTGATCGATGACTCTCTCTCATCGATGTTTCTAGCTTGCTATCTCTCTCCCTTCCTCTCTGTACAAAATCAATAAAATATATTAAAAAAAAAAAAGATGTCAAAACTAACCAAAGCAATCTCTAGATTCAATGCAAATCCTATAGCAATTTTTACAAACAGAAAAATCCAACCTAAAATTCACATGAAATCTCAAGAGATTCAAAATAACCTTGAAATAAGAAATGAATAAGAAAGCTATAGAACTCATATCAATTTCAAAATTTATTACAAAGCTACAATAATTTAAAAAGTATACTGCTAGCATAATGACAGATACAGATCAATAGAATAGAGATTACAGAAATAAACCCTCACATATATGATCAACTGATTTTCAACAAGTCAGAGTATTCAATGGGAAAAGGACAGTCTTTTTAATAAATGGTGCTCAGAAAACGATTATCTACATCTGAAAGAATGAGTTGAACTCTATTAACTCAAAATGGATCAAAACCTAAATGTAAAAGATAAAACTCTTAGGAAAAAACATAAAAGAAAATCTTCATGACACTGATTTGACAACAACTTCATGGACAGAACACCAAAAGTATAGGCAATAAAAATATTTGATAAATTCTTCAAAATCAAGTACCTAGATACATCAAAAGATACTATTAAGCAAAAAGACTACATGCAATGCTTACAAACATTTGCAAATCACATATATAATAAAGCATTAATATCCAGTATAAAGAACTCCTAAAACTCAAGAATGAGAAAAACAAAAACACACCAAACAACCCAATTAAAAAATGGGCAAAGGACTTTAACAAACAAAAGGCCAATAATCATATTTAGATATTTTAGAGAATGGAAGGGAGGGAGGGTAAAGGGGAGAGAGAGAGAAACATCAATGTGAGAGCTTGGTTGCCTTCCCCACTCGTCAGGAACGGGGCTAGGGATCGAATCTGCAACTCAGGTAGGTGCCCTTGATCAGGAATCAAAACCCAAGACATGTTGGTGCCCGGCCAATGCTCTAACCACTGAACCACCAGCCAGGGCAAAGGAAGCTTTAGAAACTATCTCAGGTCATCCTCCCAGTCATTTTTCCCAGAGCTATAAACCTAGTTGATATTCAACAACTGCTTTAAGTCTAAAATACCTTTCACCATGTCAAATATCTATTAAGTACAAAGTAAATTCCTTTGGCTTAATTTTCTTTTTATATTAAAATGAATAGTGAAACTCAACATTATTTCTGTTTTTAATTAAAGTCTCTTACCCAGGCATACAGGGAATAGCATTTTTGTAGGTTCATCTTTTTGACATTTCAACAGTTTTCTTGTATCCTTTTTTGACATTTCAACAGTTTTCTTATATCCTTTTTTGGCCTGATCCACCAGAAGCTGAAATTCATTCTGATGTTTTTTACCTGAAATTAAAAAGATTCTCTCAGCAAAGCAAGGACTATAAAAGTTATACATCTATAACCATCAAGAAGTGTACAAGCTCGCTCAAGAATAGCACTCTTGGGAATCACTTGCAATAAATGAAAAAGCTGGCAAACACAACAATACAAGGTGCTGGGAGATTGTGGAAGCCTTTCCTAACTCCTTCCTCAGCTACAAACACGGAAACATGACAGTCCTAGTTCGCTACTGTAGGTTTCTTCCCAAACCCAATATTCCAGAAAGGCTTTTGATAGAACATGAAAGATACTGCTTTTTTGTTGTTGTTTATCCTCACTGGAGGATATTTTTCCCTTTGATTTTTAAAGAGTGCATTGGAGGAAGGGAAGGGGGGAGTAGAGAGAAACACTGATTTGTTGCATCCCACACTAGCCCTGATGGGGATCGGTGATCAAACCTGCAACCCAGGTGCATGTCCTTGACCAAGAATTGAATCCATGACCCTCAGGTCCATGAGCTGATGCTCTAACCACCAATAAACACGGGCCAGAGCATGCTTACTTAAATATATCCAAAAGGCACCTTCTAATTTCTAAGACACCATTCTAATTTCAAAGACACAAAAGAATACTAAGGTGAATATTAATTAAATATAAAACCAGAAGCCGCTAGGAAAGTTGGGTAATAAAAACAAATAATATCCATTTCAAGTCCCTTTTCTTTCCCTTTACACTTCTTGCCTATTTCCTATCAGAACCCTTTGAGCAATCAAAGACATTCCCTCCACCAATCTACCTCGTTACACCTCTGAAAAGAATTTAAGCCTGACCTCTAGGTCATCATTAATGAGTTAATTTACTCAATAAAGAGTAACCAATAATTGTTAGAGCGTGACTTGAGGATTATTTGTGATCTGAACCGTGGTTCAAATAGCTGAGATTGCACTTTACTTATCTAGCATCTATAAACACTGAAGCCATGATTCAAAATGTCATATTTTGAAAAAATTCATTTCAGAAATAATCATACTGCAAAAGATTCTTTTAAAACAAAGTTTTTAAACTGTTGCTTACAGTAACCTGTATTTCCCTCAAGCAAATACTAAGAACACCTGGGTGTAGGGGAAACTGCATTTCCTAGGGCTACCCTTCCGATTCCAGCCATTCCCTGTCTGAGATGTGCTACGGCTCTGGCAAAGTAGGTAACTGACGGCAATGGAAAATTCTTGTCTACACAAGCAAAATCCCGGGTGAGGAAGGCTCAAATGACTTCCCTCCTCACTGTAGAAGGAGCCAGGTTTACCTCCATTTGCACATTTATTTTAATATCCTGATCAATAAATGTACTATTATTAGCCACTAGGGAGAGACTGCTTCTAATTTTAATACATTTATGTGTATTGTGTCTGTATGAAAACTCCGACTAAAACCCAAGGTGCTGGGTTATAAAGTATCTGGTAAGTTTTAAATAAGATACTGGTTAAAATTTCAGCAAAAGAAATATAAGTTGGCCATAAAGGTTACTGGGAAACTAGCTTTTTAGAAACAGGTGAGATCCTAAGATTACAAGCTACTGTGTTTCCCTGAAAATAAAACATCCTCCGAAAATAAGACCTACTTATAGGTTTCCTTCTGAGTGAAATATAAGGCACCCCCCCCCCCCGAAAATAAGGCACCCCAGGCTCTGTCTCAGAATGAAAATTAATTTACCGTAAACTGGTCGCTAGGGCCACTCCGACTGGCGTCTAGTAACCAGTGAAAATAGAATGAAGAGAAATCAGCGTGGAAACTTTGTGAAACCTAAACTGCAAGAAGTTGTGACTTGGGTGAAGAATTCATGGGAGAAAATCACTGACAGTTGCATTGCAAATGCACTGCGAGAGGTTACCTTGACAAGAAGTACTCATTTAAAGACAGGGCTATTGCTAAACATGAGAGATTTGGTCCACTGATTCTGAAAGAAATGGAGTCACAAGAAATTCACCAGGAAATTCAGGAATTGGATTGTTATGATGATGTTCCAGAAGATGATGACATGATTGTCATTGAATAAAGAAGTAAATTCTTGATACTGTAGGATTCACAGTTTGTCTGGTTTGTGTTGACAACTACCGTACTACCGTACTGTATACAGGTAATAAATTTCCTTTATTTTCATTAACAATAAATGTGTACCGTATTCTTCTTCATGGAAAAATAAGACATCCCCTGAAAATAAGACTTAGTGCATTTTTGGGAGCAAAAATATAAGACACTGTCTTATTTTTGGGGAAACAGGGTAGGTGATCTTTCAAGTCCTATTTAACTCTATGCATTTAAGGATAATTATTTTGTACTTCTTCACCTCCCCAAAATAAAAAAGACAAATAGGCTCACATCATGGCAGTTTTTGTAGGGAAACAGCACCATGGGGTCTCTGGAATTTATTTAGAATAGGTGTAGGCCATTTTCCACTCCATTGTGTAGCTGTGGATTGTGGGTTTAAGAATTACACAAGAAACCTGCTAAAGTAATCTCATTAACAGCCTACGAGGCTTAATGACTTTATCTTCTGAAGCAATAAAATCCCAGGATTAAAAGATATTTTCTTTTTTAAATCTAATTACTCCTACACCTAGGCAGGAAACCAAAAAGTAAATGGCAGCCACTGCTCTGGCTTTGGCCCAAGAAGTCCAATAATCACTGCTCAAAAAACAATTTCATAAGATATATAAATGTTGAATCACTAGGTTGTACATCTGAAACTAATATAATATTGTAATCAAAAAAGAGAAAAAAGAAAAATGCCAAGAGACTATTCTATGTAATAAAAGTTTAATATGCAAATCGATCAAATGGTGGACTGACTGGTCGCTATAATGTGCACTGACCACCAGAGGGCAGATGCTCAATGCAGGAGCTGCCCCTGGTGATCAGTGTGCTCCCACAGGGGGAGCACCACTCAACCAGAAGCCGGGATCACAGCTGGCCTGCGCAGTGGCAGTGGCGGGAGCCTCCTGCCTCCATGGCAGCACTAAGGATGTCTGACTGCCGAAGGGGCCTAAGCTGTCAGTCGGACATTCCCCGAGGGCTCCTGGACTGTAAGAGGGCACAGGTTGGGCTGAGGGACACCCTCGGCCCCCAGTGCGTGAATTTCAGGCACTGGGCCTCCAGTGACTAATAAACCTGTTCAAACTCATCCTTCACCTCATTTTAGAAGTTCTGCCATTTGGCAAGGAGTACTTTATCAAGTTTTAAATCTCCATTCTGCTGGTTAGATGCCCTGCATTTACCACTTAAAAGTCTTAAATGGCTCAGATAGTTGTGGGAACTAATGAATAACCCCACATTCAACCAAATCAAATTCAAGATTTTTAATACCTGAATCATATCACCCTTTCTGCCTCTTCAAGTTGAAATACCACAATCTTTCTAGTGCCAAGTCAAGCCCTTCACTCTCTGACCACCTTAATTACTCTTTTTTTAGACCAGCTTTTACTGCCAGATGTTTCTGGGTCAGCCTGTAAACCAGGGGTGTATAAGACCAAACCAAGCTCTTCCAAGACTGGACAGGCTCACCCCCTCCCCAGCAGTGACACCAAAGAGATACTGTTGCTTCCATCACTGTGAGTTTGCCAGTTAACCAATACTTTGCTGATGAGATGGGTAGTGATATTAAGGAATGCTATGTTTTAAAAATGTTTTTAATTTTTTAGAGAGAGAAAGGGTAAGGGAGAGAGAGAGAGAAACATTGATGTGAGAGAACATCGATGAGAAAGAACATCTATTAGCTGCCTCCTACACACCCCTCATGGGGGATTGAGCCTGGGCATGCGCCCTGACTGGGAATTGAAGCAGCAACCTCTTGGTGCATTGGTCAATACTCAACCACTAAGCCACACCAGCTGGGCGAGGAATGCTATTTTTTAGTATTATAATATATAAATAAAATATGCAAACATTTGGATGTCAATAAAACAATATTTTCCAAATAACCAACAAATGATGTTATAAATTCACAGATAAAAAGTGCCTGACAAGAGGATTTTAATGTAATTAAAGTACAAAAACTTCATTAATATATTTTCAAATTCTATTGTAATTAACATTTCTGAAATAACTTGGTGTTGTATCAAAGAATATCCAAGTTATCTAAAACATTTATTGAAACACTCTTCCTCTTTTCAATAACCTATCTCACAGACTGGATATTTTTCATATACTTTAAGCAAAATAACACAGGATGACAGTTTAAATGCAGAAGCTAGTATCAGAATTGAGATGTCTTTTATTAAGCAAGACATTAGGGAGATCTGCAGAAAACAGAAAAGAATGCCATTATTCTCACTACATCTTAAAAATCAGACTTGAGAAATACTTTACACAAAAATTAATCAATTTTAAGTGAACACAATGTGTTTTTTAAAAAATGTATGGTCATTTAACTCCCAACACACTCACAAAACCAAAGATTTAAATCACCCAAAGAGTTCTTCATGACCCTTTGAAACCAGTCCTCTCTCTTCTTCCCACCCACAGCCCCTGGCAGTACCAAACTGCTCTGTTCTATCGTTTTGCCTTCTCTAGACTTTATATAAGTGGAATCATTCAGTATTCTCCATTTTAATTTGGTTTTCTCTTAGCATAATGTTTCTGAGATACATCCATGTATAAGGGGTTAATTCTTTTATATGGATGTACCACAATGTTTATGAACATGTAGGTTGTTTTCATTTTAGGATAATATGAATAAACTGCTATAACATTTGTCTATAATACTCAACTGTTCATTTACAACTGATAATTTTTTTGTAAATTATATCTCAATAAATATGACTGTAAAAATCTGTATAGACATATGCTTTCATTTGTTTTGGGTAAATAACTAGGAATAGAATGTATGATAGGTATATGTTTGTCTTTATAACAAACTGCTAAACCTTTTACCTAAGTGAATGTATCATTTTGCATTATCACCAGCAATGTATGAGAGTTCCATTTGCTATACATCCTGTCAGCACTTACTATTATCCTCTTTCAATTAA